CGTTTCGATCCGAGTTTTTAAACACTGCCACAAACTATTATTTAATTTTAATTAATTTTATATTCTATTTTATTTTTATTTATTTTAAAATTTATGAAGACATGAAATCAAAGTATCTCTTTTACACTAGTAATTAATAAATATAATAATCAATATTATATAAGAAAAAAAATGTTTATTATATATTTATGTTTCATAACAATGAGACTTACATAGTGTTAGGTTGGAAGGGAAGATAAATTTATTTTAAGAAAATTCTTGTTTGATTCAATTTTTAGAAGGGGAAGAGAGCAAAATCTTTTCTATTTTTGCTCCCCTCCAATATTTTGGGGATTTTGAGAGAAATGATCTTAAAACATTTTTAGTACAATGTCCAAAATACCATTATTTATGTTAATAAATTTAAAAGTTCAAACATATAATTTAGTCTTTGCATTTGACATGGATTCTCAATTTGGTTCTTATAAGTAAAAACCTATTAAATTAGTTATTATACTTGTTAGACGTTATTAACTTATTAGTCCCTAACATTTTTAACTCTATTTCACATTATAAATTTAATCTTTATACATGTAATACACTCTTAATTTGTAATACATGTAATCCTACACATGTAGTACATTCAGATTAGTCTATACAATAGAAGATAAAATTAAGAATGTGTTGATCTTATAAAGACTAAATTAAAAATGTACTACATATACAAACTATATGAGAGACAAATTAAGAATGTGTAAGAAAATCAATAACTTTTGACATTAAATCAATAACGTTTATATATATAGAGATTGATTTAATACATTTTTACTGCTAGGGATCAAATTTAGAGTTCACACCATATATAGGGACTAAATTATATATTTAACTAATTTAAAATTACGACGTAAAAAAACTAATTTAAAATTATAAGGATAAAAAAAAATTAATTTTTAAAATTTCTCTTCTTCTTTGTGAATCAAACAAGAAAATAATCACCTCTCATTTTTTTCCTCCTCTCAACCAAACAAAATTTCAAATTCCAAGAACTCTCTCATATTATTTATTTATTTTAGCATAAAAAATTTAATAATAATAATAATAATAATAATAATATTATTATTATTATTATTCGGTTTAGAACCTAAGATCCCACCAACAACTTGTTTACTCTTTAAAGTACACAAGTATCACCAAACATCCTATAAATTGTTGATTTTCTCATTCCTAGAAACGAACTTTTGAAAATTATATTTAAAATATAAAATATAAATGAATTTTTATAATAAATTTTATCATTCCATTTAAAAAAAAAAAGTATTTTCATAAAATGTCTATTTATTTGTTTCTTTTCTTTATTTTACTTTTCTTCTCTCCTTGTATAGTCAAGACGTAAATGATTCTAATTGTAGTTGTCTTTATGTGCACATAAGAATACTTTTTGGAGTTCGAATCCTAATGAAATTTCCCTTCCTAAGTCCATTTCTAATTTGTCACGTAAACCTCATTTTTTTTAAATCAGTGTTTATATAAGTAATTTTAGTAAATTTTAAATAATTCACTTATTTTTTTTTTTACTAATGTAACAAGTGAAGTTGCTTATAAATAATTATAGAAGTGCTCTAATTGGCAATTTCCGCTGCTCGTGAGTGTGACATCCCTATTAATTACTGTAAAATATTTTTTTTCTTACCAATTACACCCCTCTCTTACAAACTACTGTTAATTTATCTTATTCTTATGAACTTCTAAAATTAAATGATGATACCTGACGTGAACATTTGTTTATAAATTCACCAGGACATTTTTAATATTATAATATTTTATTTACATAAGTTTATATTTCTAATATTTTTTCGCAGTTATAATGTATATTTATACTATTAATAGCTGTAAAAAAAACAATTCATGAAAATTTATTAATTTTAATTATTTTTAATATTAATAAAGAAAATTCAAATTTCAAAAATATATTCTTTGCATCTATAATTTTTTGTGCGGGACAACTGACAAGTGTTTCAAAAGTATTATTATCACTTGTTAAGATTCTGGTAAAGAATTATTGTGTCTTCAATTAATAAACAAATAAAGTAATGCATCAATTATTCTCATAAATGAAATTGCTACATCACAGAAAGACAACGTATGTAACTTTTCTTCATATATTAATTAATACAGGGAGGGTCGGATTTATCCATTTGCTACAAAAGTGTTGAACTTAATATTTTTTATATAATAAAAATTGAACACATTATTAATAGTTATATATCATCATCAAGTGAATAAAAATTTCTCAATTGAAAAAAATAAAAACCTCAAATTTATAGTTTATAGAGTGTATCATTAATTAATTCCGCAATTGAGAGCTTATCTAATAATGGCTACGCGAGTACTCCTAAAAAATCTCCATTTGTAGGTAAAAATTGTCGTGTACCTCATTCAACCCTGTTGCCAAGTTTGTTTTATTTTATTATTATAGTAATAATAACAAGATGAGGGCAAAATGTCTTAGTGATGTCTGAGTACGTAGGGATTATTTTATACTACAAAGGCAAGTGGTCCAATAATAGATGTGAAATAATGGAGCTGCAGCTACTTAGTCCACACATGGCTATGAACAACATGAGGTGAAAGAACAACCTCTCCAATTTTAGGTTTTTTGATGTGTTGGAACAATCCAAATGATGAATGGAAAGGTTGGTCCCGGGGAAAATTAAATTAAATAAAATAGCTAGCATTTTTTTAGTGGAAAAGAACTATAACATTCTTTACTATCAAAAAAGAACAAACATTCTTTACCTAATGTCAGTAATATATATTCTTTTGCTTGTATTATTAGTTGAATTTTATCATAAATTTAAAAATTTATATATTTTACTTTTTATTTAATAAGTCTCATTTGTAAATTTAGTATTCTCGATAAATTTGAACTAATAATAAGAATACATTACAAAATATTAATGAAATGGCTCGTGAGTTTTTGATCAAAGTGAGACCATGAATTACATCGAACAAATATAGCATTATACATGGTGTTGATGTGGAGTCATCACCACCTTTAGACAAACAAATATTGTTATAGGCCGCAACAACTTCTACATCTACCC